TATATATATATATATATATATATAGACATATATAGACATCTTCTTCCTGTAGGCGTCCTCAAATCCCCGCGGTTACAACTTGACTTCACACTTAAACGTCTTGGTACTCCTTTTCACCAGAACTGAAGGTGTTCTCCCTTCTTATTTGCAGTATCCTGCAGGTCTGTAAGGATCCAGGGTTCAGTCGGATATTGTTTTTGATGGGATAATAGTTTCTTCAGCGACTCTGGTGTAGTTTGGTGTGCAGCCAGTCACACAGTCAATACCCTACCTGTGTGGTCCACAGAGAGCGTGAGAGAGGAGCTGTGAAACCACACAACATACCGTACAGCGTGGTTGGAATGATTACAAACACATTAAATGTCACCCGTTTTATTGCTTCATATTTTACATAGCATCGAGTTAAAGAAAACAATGTCTTCCTGTTGTAACAAACATTTCTGTCCACTGGGTGGCAGCAGTGAGAAATCCAGCGGTGGTATTAATAATTCTAATTGGATCATGTTCGCTCGAAATAAAACAAAATAAAATGCAGAGAATTCGCTTAAAACATACGATTCAATTAATATCTGAAACGTGTCAACATGATAAAAAATATTTTTTAAAAAATGAAAACTTTGCGTTCACAAATTAGAAGCCTTTTGTTAGCTTTTAATTTGAATATTTCGGTCGTTAGTTCATTAGTTGTGGATTTATAAGGGCTGGGGCAAAGCTAAGAGACAGGCAGCGAAGCCGACTGACGTTTTTACACTGATGATGATGTATAACATCCAACTTATCTGACTGCTAGTCTCAGAGCCTGACTACACACAGGGTGAAGACCATGCAGAGTGAATGAAGCCCACAAACGTTTTCTTTGTGGACATAAATACTGGCTGAGGTTCCTTAACATTAATGAATCAATCTTAAAAAAATAGTCACAGGATTAGCAGCTACTTTTTTATGTCATACATTTCCTACACTTTCTGATTTCTGAATTCCTTTTTTCCATCCATTCTCTTACCCTGTTTTTTCTTTTTTTTCTCCTCTTATTTTCCCCCCAAGTGAACAGATGTTGATGTGCCAGCACTCACAAGCGCTGAGTCAGGAAAAATGCTAAATATTCGAAAGCTGAGTCAGCAGCAACGGTTTTTCAGATGCTTTTTAAAAAGTGGTTTCTGGAAACAGAAGCAGATAATCTATCAGCTATCAGCATGTTCTTGAACCTTGCTGTAAATGCTGGTGCGTGTGGTTGACATGACTGTGCGGAAACATTTTCTTCAGTCTTTCCTAATGGCCTGACACACTCTCATCTGTTCCTTCTTTCTGACTTCCCTCTCTCCAGCTTCACTTTCACATCCCTCACGTGCACTTTCATCTGCTGCGATATGTTATGTCACATCACGCCGCGTTTAGCTTTTCTCCCACGTCCCGCCGCCTCACCTGCCTCTGGTCAACTTCACTAACTCTCTCTGTACTTTTGAAAGACATCAAAAGAAAAAGGTTTGTGAAGATTGTCAAATAAAAAAAGACATTCTTGAGCAGTGTCATTATAACGAACATTTGAACACAGAGCTCGTGGTGTGATAACTGAGGTGCACTTTGAAGCTGCATCATTCCTTGTTCAGCCTCTGACATGCAGCTGAGTTGTGATGAAGCTGTTGAGCTGATGTGGCTCTCCAAAAACAGACAGGGAATTTCCCCTAATGCTGCAGCAAATCTGTTGATATACGCTATGCACTGTATCAGTTCATCACTCTTTCACAGAACACGTCTGTTGTTCCAGCTCTATGTTTTAAAAAACAAACAAACAAACAAACAAACACTTCCAGCACAGCTCGGACCCTCGTCTCGTCTCCTCCTTCATTCACTGATCTTGTTCCCCCGTTGCCTCTGCCCTCGTTCTGCTGAGTGTACGCACATGCCTGGTGCGGTGCACGTGGCACCGGAGCTGGGCCTCACGCCAGGGATCGTTGCCTGGGTTTGATTCTCGGATACAGCTGGAAACAGACACAGAACAAGGACGCAGGAAGGAGGGTGTCGGGGGAGGGAGGAGGCGAAGGGGGAGAGGGGCAATGTAACTACAGCGTTTACATCATTCACAAGGTGTCTCCATGTCCTGAAAGCAGACTTCATCGTTCTAACACAGTGTGAATAATAATGACTCTGTTACAAAAAAAGTCCAGTCACCAATTATTCAAAGGAATCTTTAATGTTATTTTAGACCAGTGGTTCTCAGGTATTTTCTGTCATGCTCCCCCTTGGGGACAGAAATGTTTTAACACACCCGCCCCCCACACACACACACAGAAATTGAACTATTATTGAGAACCTGTGAACATTTATATTCTTATCTGTACAAACCACTGTATGAGTTGCTGCCACCTTGTTGTCATTCAAGTGTTACAGCAGTGGTACACTTATCTCCTCACGCCCCCCCGGCACCTCACCGCGACCCACCAGGGGGGCCCGCCCCACTACTTGAGAAGTACTGCTTTAACTTAGGAAACCATCTGTTGACCTTGATGACGATGGTTCATCAGCTAGCTCACCTTCACCTACACTAGTTTCTAACCAACATGTGTAGTAAACCTGTAGTAAACTGACAGTGACACGTGTGTTCTTCTCCATGTACTCACCCCCAGCAGGTTCCTGGGTACGTATCCCTCCTTGTCGTTGAGTCGTGCCCACCACCAGTCCGTCTCCGTCTCATCGTGCCGGCGGATGATAGTGAGAGCGTTTCCTTCACTGAAGGACAGCTCATCAGCCTCCTTGGCTGTGTAGTCCCACAGAGCATAGACCAGACCTTTGTTCATCACCCCCAACTTTTCCTGTACACCTGGGCCAGATACAACGCAACCAGACTGTAGTCAACGACACAATCAGTCTAATCTACCATGTGAGGAATTGGTTTTTTTCTTCTTCCAACCAACACTTGCTGGCTAACACACCATCTTGATAACACCTACCGTAGAGGAACTGAGAACACTGAGTGTAGCCGTCCTCCATTTCTTCACATTTGTCTGCTGCTGTTTCCACGTCACTGATTGTTGTAGCAAAAATGGCTGCCCCCGACTCCACCAGCATCTTACAGAGGTGGACGCTGTTACAGGAAGCCGCACAGTGGAGAGGAGTCCTGCGAGGAACAACAGATGTGTCCAACAGGTGTCTCACTGGGATGGACAATTAAAATGAAGGGTTGTACTGACTGCTGCGTACTGACCATCCATCACTGTCAGCTGCATTAACGTTGACTCCAAAGTCCAGTAAGAACTTGACAGTGTGATGGTGTCCAGCACAGACGGCATTGTGAAGAGGAGTTATGCCTTCGTCGTTGGGCTGACTTGGATTCTCCACCTTCAAATCAGAAAATAATCAAATTTAAAAAAACATTTGTATACCCTGAGGACAAAACACACCACACTACAAGACAATTTAAGTAATGTCTTACATTGAAGCATCAATGGTCAACTACAGTCTGCTTAACAAGAGCATACACTAACATCCAATAAAGGAATTACAAAACATTCTTAGAAGATATTGAGTTAGAATCCATTAAAATTAAAAATGTTCTACCAAATGGGTCACTGCAGCATTGTTCCCTCTTACCTCGTAGATAATTCTCTGTACCAGATCAAACTCTCCCTCTAATGCAGCGTCCAGCAGTAGAGCCAGGGGGTTAAACTTGACTCGGAGACCGTGGCCTGTCCTCTCCGACGATGGCTTCTTCAGGTTAGTTCGCTTTACCTGAGTGGCAGATAGAGAGAGAACGAAAAAACACAGACCATTCAGAACAAAAAAAGTATTTATAGTACTGCACTGGTTCCCAAACTATTTTTGGCTTGTGACCCCATTTTGACATCACAAATTATTTGCTGTCATCAAGATGCGCCAGATGGTGTGTGGTGTTTTTAATTTTAATTTAAAAAGATAATATATAAAGAACAGTGGTGCTTTGGCCCAGAGTCAGTGTCTCTGTCTCTGGTGTGGAACCCCAGGGTTCACCTCCTGGGAAAGTTTAAATCCCTGTCAGGGTGGTTGGTACCTTCCAGTGGACTCACCACCCACAGGAAGGTTCAGGGGGGGTTGGTGCGGTGCAGTGTGATTTGGGTGGTGGTCATGGAGACTGCTGCCCCCACGACCCGGTAACGGATGAGCAGATGGATGGAATATATAAAGAACATAATAATTAGTTGAAAAAAAATCTTTTTATCAGTATTTCTTAAACCTACTAGACATTTCAGGTGACCCCTTAATTGAATTCCAGGTGATTCCACATGGGGTCGTGACCCCAAGGTTTAAAAAAAAAACACAGACTTAATGATTTATCTGGGCAGTTGTACAACCTGTACTTATATTTATCACCAAAAAAATGAATCCCACATTTTAAAATATTCAGGATGTTTATAACGTAAAACCATAATCTGGTCCCTGACCTTAGGCTGTGCCGGCGGTGCAGGAGCTGGTGACGCAGCAGCGTGGTCAGCCGTGTTGCGAGCAGGACTCGATCCTTTCTGGTTGTTGTTGTTCTGATCCTCCTGCCTCAGTGCAGCAGTTGGACTGGACTGAGACGACGAAGAGACGAACGACTTCACTTCCATAGTTTCTTTGGAAGGTTCTTTGTCACCAGAAGGAGGGGAGGAGCTTCGGGAGTCCGTATTCGGGGTCTGAACTTTGACCCCTGCAGCGGCCATGCTGATGTGCTTGTCATCACCTTCTCCACTCCCATTGGCTGCCTGAGCGTTGTCTACGTCTCCCAACAGGCTGTCAGGTTGGTAAAAAGTGTTGCCTGCAAATCATAAAGAAATACAGTGTAACAGTTGTCCAGTGATGTAGCCTTGAGGCCCAGTGATGAGTAATCAAGTTTACACGCCCTGTTGAACAGGAAGGAAACAATTAAGAAAATGAAGACTGCTCCACTCCACACTAAACAAAAACACCCAACACTGGGACACGTCTGAATTTAAAGGCTGAAAATTCCGTGTGGAGCTCCAAAATATAAAACAAATGTGAATAAAAGGAAATGATTTACTTTTTGGCAGCAACAGGCTCAAATCCTGTGATAGAGAATAACTGAGAGCTGGCTTTGTTCACGCTGAGACTCGGTTGCAACAAGCTAACACTGTCACAGCACAAGATGTGGGGCGAGTCAAATTTCACACACACAAACGGGTCTTACCTGAGCCTGATTCCATGCCTCCTGCCAGAGTGTTGAATCTGTAGACCAGAGAGAAATTACAACTGTGTACAATTTTATTTTTCTCTCGTGTGAATGGTGTGTGAAGTAGCAGCTACCTCTGATACAACAGTTTTTGAATGTTTGGCCCCTGGGGGCCCTCGGGTTCTGTGATTGAACTCCGTTTCTTCAGCGGTCGCGGAGCGTTACTTAGGCGTCGGCGAAGAACCTCCATGTCTGCGTCGCTCTGGTAACGTAGCTGTGAGTGCGCTGTGAAGAGGCACGAACACGTCAAGTGTGTAGTGGTTACAGCTGCACAGGTTGTCATGATTTATCGTTACTGAATTAGCCACAGATCTGTCATCGTCATACTCTTCCATTAGCGACCAGTTGTCATGACCACACCCCTGAGCGGAGTGTGCCGCTCCTGGACTAAAGTCTATGAACTCAACAGTATCTGTTTGTTCTGGGTAGATTCACATCCCAGAGGAAAAGAGCTTAAACAAAGACTTCCTGACGGCACTGACTGACACTGACATCAGTTAACCAATCAAAACACGTTAATGGATGACAATGAAAAATTAGAAACGACATTCAGCAATACAGTAAATGGATAAAATGAATCTTAATGGCTTCCAGAACGTTCTACCTTATCAACTACCACGCATCATAGAAACACCAATATCCAAGTACCTCATATAGCAGGAAGACTAAATTATTCAAGGTAGTTTTGGTTAATAGACATGTGCTTTCTATCTTCTCACTTCTTATAATGTAACATATCCTGCTAATGGTCGCTATTGATCATGAGATCAATTAATATAAAACATTATTATTCTATAATCTCACTGAAACAAGAATCTATATACACCAACCAACCAATCAACCGACTGACCAACATCAACTGCCTCCATCAGTCTCTATGCATCTACGTACAACCGACTGACCAACGGCCAACCCACCCAACTGACCGACCTCCAACAGTGTAGCCGTCCGACCCAAAGGCAGAATTCGCAACCAAACAACCGACTGACCAACGGCCAACCCACCCAACTGACCGACCTCCAACAGTGTAGCCGTCCGTCCACACACATCTACAGACCCGACTCACATGTGGCTTCACCTCTTTTCACTTTCTCTTTTTCTTCATTTCCTGCTTCTCTGCTCAAAGACTGTCCTCTCTTCCTCCCCTTCCTCCGTTCCCACTTGATTTGTTTGAGCTGTTTCACAGCAGCAGGCATCCTAACAGTTAGGGATTGGTCAGCTGGCTAAATGTTGAACGGTTTGATATTCGACAATATCATAGATTTATGGGTTCCTGTCATTGTTCTGTTTCTGCTGACTCTGTTTTGGCATCCAGTGTTTTGTTTCGCTTCAAAGGATCAAAGTTTTTTTTTTTATCCTTCCATCTTTTCTCAATCAGGAATATTGACCTGTTGGTATATTTTAGTTTGTCTTTGCTCCACAAAAAAATAAACAACAATCTATCTTGCAATTATTTATGAATTAAAATGTGAACTCTAGATTTTAATGTTTATTTACACACGTATCTTGATTTTGTGGCAAAATACAAATAAAAAAACACTCCAAACCGCCATCATTTGTTCAATCTTGTGCACCCCCTAGTGGCTGTTCGCACACCTCCATGGGTTCTCATTAGTAGAACAAAAATGACACCTACCAACTGGGGTGAGTTTCGTGGGACTGAGGGGACGGGGGATGTTGCCTACGATTGGCGGAGGGATCGTTTGCTTCTCGCCGCTCTCATCTCCTCCTTTTCCACCATCTTTATCCATAACGTCCTCTCCTCCTGCTCTCAGACATCCTCCTCCTCCATGGAGGAAAGGAACAGGGGACGGAGAGGCGGACGACACGGGGAGAATAGGTTTGCCGTAGACTGCAGAGAAAAGAAGCGTAGGACGGAGATTGATCAGCTTTGATTTAACGACGATGTAATAACTAAACTATCTCTTACAGTGTGTGTGTGTGTGTGTGTGTGTGTGTGTGTGTTAGTGTTGAATTACCTGCTTTGACTGTTGCCCTGTTGCTGAGAGAGCCGTAGTTTTTGGCCTGTGACTGCTGCAGGTACATGCTGTAAATGGAGCTGCTGTTCATGGTGGCTGGACCTTTTCTGGGGGACTGGGGTCTGGACGGATGGTCAGGGACATAAGGACGAACTGCCACTGCCGGAGGGAGATCAGTTCGCTCCACTTGTTGGGACAGTGGAGACGGCTGAGAGGTGGTGGCCGAGGCTGAAACAATGACGCAAAATTATTCACCAGGCAGACATTAAAAAAGACTAATTTAATCACAATATATAAAGTCCAGGGATGACTCTATGACTGTAGGGGACGTAGGAGACATCGTAGTTTGACACACCTTGGCTTGAGTTTGGAGGGACAGAGATCCGCTGCTGTATCTGCTGTGAGGACAGAGAGGAGGAGCTGGATGTGCTTTTGTTGGATCGAGGCCAGCCCAGTGTACCAGGGGCGGAGCGGGGCAACGAGCTGGAGGCACTGTGATGCCCTGCTGCCTGGTGGTTGGCACTGGGGTAGGTCCCATAAGTGGAGACAGGCTGGGAGGAGGAGAGACAGAAACTAGATCCTGATATCTGTTTCTTAATATGCAAATGTGATTGTTTTTGTTTCTTAAAAATGAGCAAACTTTCAAATATGCAAAACCTACTATACAATGTTGTAATGTGTGAGATGTTTCTCCTCATCTGTTACTCTGTGTTGGTCAAAAATGTGTACTTTAATGACACTTGATGAATTAAGATTAAAAACTCCTTTAACGTCTATAATAATGTCTTCTCTAAAGACTGCAGGATTCCACTGCTCTGTTCTCTCAGCTCAGCACAAATAAAAATGGGATGTTTTATAAAATAAATAGATGAGCAATCACTGGTCACTTATCTGTCATCAATCATTTTATTTTCAAACTCTGCTGACGCTTCTTCCTCTCAGGTTTCTCTGCAGTGCAGTGCAGGATTTTTAGTAGCTGAAGAGAAACAACAAATTTATGTTGTCCTCTGCTGCCAGTGTCGGCCCTGATTGGCCAGATTGGACGCTTCCTGTTTTTCTGTCTAATCTTCATAGTAATTGGTCAACGCTGATGGGCAGACATTTCTAGAACACTTAGGGTAGGAACAGTACCTGTTCTGGAGTGTTGGTCCTCCAGTCAGACCACGAAGCTTCATTTGCTGGATGCAACAAAGAAGAGAAAATAATTCAAAACAGATGACGACAAGGAAGAACTAAATAAATAATCTACATTTGGCGTTCTAATAAAACTCTACTCACCACTGTGGTAACACAAACACACTGTACAGTTACCTACTGTACCTGTCCAAACCCTCTGACTCTTTTCTGGCGTCTGATAATCATCGAGTGTTTTAGCACTGAAAATTATTTAAAATGATGGAGCTCATGGAGTGTTGTATTTAAATCCTAACTTCAGTGTAATTTTGAGTGATGTGAAACTGAATAAAACTATTAACCCCAGATTTGTCCAGTGCCACATCATAACAGTTCTCCATTCTCTTTTGTTATGGCACTGCATTAGCCAGAAATGAAGAAAGAACAATTTAAGGTGGAACAGTTTAATTATACATCATAACGTGCTAATGGATGAGTTAATGTTAATGAAAAAAGTGTCAAAAGCATCTGGTCCCAAAGCTCATTCACGATCATTGTCCCAGACAACCATCATTCATGTTTCCAGCACCAAACTGTGAACCGTCAGACACTCTGATTGAATTGGTGTTTCAGTTGGTTAGAAACCGTTAGCTATCAGTGACGGAGCTCTGACACATACCAGACTATCAATGATTTACCCTGTAACACCGTCGCACACGAGGCCGAACTCATCACTGAAGTTGTTGTAACTGTGACCTGTTGACCCACAATCAAGAAGCCGAAATAGCTCAGTTGGGAGAGCGTCAGACTGAAGATCTGAAGGTCCCTGGTTCAATCCCGGGTTTCGGCAGAGAGCTGTGCTTTTTAGACCAGGAGTGGATTTAGATCAAGTATTTATCAGAGGAACTTCAGTAGTGGAGAGGTAGAGTGGGTGGTGGTGTTAATGATGTTTGCAGATGACATTGTATTCTTTAGTGAGAGGACGGAGCAGGTGGAAGAAAACCTGGAGGGCTGGAGGTTTGTTTTGGAGGGAAGAGGAATGAAGGTCAACATGCCACTCCCCTACGCTAACACAGTGCTAACACCGTTAGCCAGAAAAAAGAAACAGGAATGAAAGTGAACGCAGCACAATCCAATGTATGGCTTAAAACCAGTGAATGGAAACAAAGCTGTCTTCTGTGTATAGCGCCACCTGATGACGTATTCTTCCACCCCGCTTTGGTGCGTACTTCAAAATGATGAAATGTTCTCAATAAATTTATGTGAGATGGTGACGTAACCGTGAAACACTGTAGGTCAGGGACGTTGTAAGTCGAGGACTCCTTGTACAGGTGTGGAAACTGGAAACATCGTTGCTTATTCACATAGAAAAAAGTAATAATTTTACAGCTAGAACACTAATGATTTTTGGACACTCACCCTGAGGTTATGGCGGCAAATCTGAGACTCTGCTAAGATGTGACAGCAAAAGTCAGAACACACACTGGAAAAGGCAGAGCTTCTCATATGCAGTAGGTCGAGGATGTATCTGAGTCTGAGTCTGAGTCTGAGTCTGAACTGTGCTTTGCTGTTAGTTTGTTTTCTTTTGCTGACCTCTGGAAACTCACACAGCTGCTGGATATCAGTTGTCATGTCTGCGTCTATGTTCATATGGCCCACATTTTCTGCAGCTAACTCAATTACGTCTCCTTCCGCCTTCCATACTCTCCTGTTAGACACTGTGAGCTCTTAGATACAATATCACACATGTAGAGGTATGATTACGAACCCGACGAGTTCATCCTGACGTTTACGAGACAGAGGAAGGAGTCTATAATCTGATATTGTTGAATATGCTAGGACAATCCTGAGACAACGTGCGTCCTCGTAACAAATGCCAACTGGTGTCACAGCAACAGCCACGGGGGTAAAATGAAGTACATAAGTGACATCTTTACATTTAGGAAACTTCCACAACAATTAGGCTACGATGGTTTCTCTAAATCCACAAAGATTCAGATGAATGTCCACATGGCTGCGATTTATCATGGTTTCTTTAAATCCACAAAGATTCAGATGAATGTCTTCTGGTCTAAAAAGCACAATTCTCTGCCGAAACCCGGGATTGAACCAGGGACCTTCAGATCTTCAGTCTGACGCTCTCCCAACTGAGCTATTTCGGCTCCCTGTTGTAGGTCAATAGGTCAGAGTAACAACAACATCAGTGACAGGGCAGATTAGTTCAGTCTAGTAGATCGCTCCGCATCCGGAGGCTCCGTGTAAACATGGCCTTGAAACGGACCTACCTGAGAGGGAGCGGGTGTGGCTGAGAGGGGTGGGTTTGGTGGGTGGGTCAGCTGGCAGCGGGTAGCCCGTCTCTTTTCTCCCCTCAGCTGGAACTTGAATGTAGGGACAGACAGCTGCTACGCGCCCCAGAACTCCACCACTCAGGTAGGAGGAGCTCTGTGAGGAGGACACACCGCCGCCATTCATGTGGCTCAACTGGAGGAGACAGGAAGGAGCGTGAATTCGGACACGTTTTCACGTGCTGATGAACTAAGACCAAGTCATCAAGGAAGCGGAGCGGCGTACTTCAGCTTTCTTCTTGTGCAGCCGTTCTCTCAGTTCTCCAATGCGCTGATCCATCACTGTCACCTGGGCGTTCCTCTTATTCAGCAGCTCCTTGTTCTGGGCCAGCCTGCTGCTCTGCTCCAGGTTGTGGCGATTACGAGCCTGAAACGCAGAGTCACATGATCATCTGAGTCATTGAGTGAACTATGATTATTATTTTAAGTGTTGTTGTCGCTGTACCTGCAGCTCCTGATAGAGCTTCCTCAGTTCCAGTGCTGCAGGGCCGGACAGGGATGATACTTTTTGACCAGCAGTGACACCATGACCTGGGCTGAACGAGTGCAGCTGGAGTTGTCCTTTTCTCAAATCCTCCAGCTGTTGAGTCAACTAGGATCACAGTAATAGAAAGCAATTGACACCAATTCCTCTGTGTGTTTTTGAATTTTACAGAAGACAATTCCACTCGCTCCTCTTCACACTGGAACCCCAGGGTGTGAGCTGAGTTTTGTTTGACTTGACATGGACACTGACCATTACCTGGTCAACTCTAATGACCGCGGACTGCAGCTCTGCCTGCTTCTCCTGAAACAGGTTGCTGACATGGTCGATCTCTGCAGCTGGAGACAGGAAATGAGAATGAGTGATGGAGCATCAGTGGACTCTCTTTTGAAATTGTGTGATCAAACAGCAGATTCTTTAGCCTTAAATCACTTGTCTTGTCCAAATTATATCATATAATTATATTATCATTATTCTGTCAGTCAGTTTGCCTTTGGTCTTCAATGTCCACGTTTCTCTAATAGAACAGATAATAAACTCTGGGGTTGAGGTGTATTACTCACTGCTACTACACTGTTTCTCTTTGCCCTTTCTTTGAACAGCCATCCCTTCAGTAAAAATAACGAATGGACGACAACATTTTTTTTCACTGAAGTTCAATCAATGGCTGTTGGTCTGATATGACAAGACAACAACATCAGCCGTCACTTCTCCACCAGGAGCAGTACAGGCTAAAGGCAGGTTGAGCTTTTACATGTCATTTATCTTAGTTCACAACAACACTCCATCTATCTGTGTATACAGTTTGTGGTGCGTGAGTGAAAAACTTAGTCAGATTGTATTTAATCAGCCTTTGGCTGAGGAACTACATTCCACCTCTCCTTGATTTCTAACTTGCGGTCGTGCTTCATTCAGAGTGACCGTGCCTTTCAAATGTAATGTAATATCTTATTCTTCATAAGTGCACAGTGTGTTGGCCGTGCCTTTCAAATGTAATGTTATTCTTCATAAGTGCACAGTGTGGTGGAGTTTCTTCTTACAAAGATTGCTATTGATGAGTTTGCTGTAGTCCACTTGTCCTCTCATGGCTCGGATCTTCTTCAGCTTGGCTTCCTGAGTCTCGACCCGCTCCTTCAGTCGCTGCAGCTTCTCAGCCTCAGCCTGAGACAGGGAAAGTAAAGAGAATAAGTACGCAATGCATTGGATGAAGAAATGTAAAGACAAAGAGACATATGGACCCCACCTGTGTCTGGTCCTGACTAGCTCTGCCCCCCTGTTGAAGATGTCTCAGCCTGTGCTCCTGCAGCAAAAAGGAAACACGATACGTTTGGCAATGATACATTCAGTCAGATGTGAATATAGTTTGACAGACTCCAGACCTGGGAAGAAGAGAAAATCAAACAAAGGACAGACCCTGGATGCAGATTTTAAATAGTAGATGTAGGCCAAAAAGAAATTGGAATTGGAATTCTAAGCCCTAGTTTAAAGTAAAGTCTTGATTTTAGGTTAAATAATCATGTCCAGAGATCTGGGCAAACTAAGGCTCGGGGGCCGGATGTGGCCCCGTCAGCTCTGTAATCCGGCCCGCCAAACGTGTCAAAATTATATAATTGGTTTGTATTGTGATTATACTTCTGCCTTTTCTCTGCAATACCCATGTTTTCCCTATAGATGGTGTAGAGAAGGATGAAAGCATTGTAGCATTTTTGCCTTTATGCATGACTTTTACATGTTAGTTCACACGAAGGCTCCATCTATCTGCTCCTGACTCTGTCCACCTTTTCAAATTTGAGGACAATTGTGGTCACAGAGTTTGCCCACTCCTGGTCTCCCTGTTACTACAAGTGACCACACGTGTCCTAAAGGAGGACACAGTGGATCTGTAACACTCGGAGAGCAGTGAGAATGGAATTGATCGATTACTTATCAGATAGTAATCAGCAACTGTCAGTGAGTCAACTATAATTTTATCTTCTCAGATGTGATGGTGAACTTCGTTCTCTCTGACAGTTAATGTGTATTTGTATTGTACTGTATTTGATGCACAAATACCTTTGTTCCATGAATTTAACTGCCTCCACACACATCTTAAAACACGTCTGAACAGAAATGGGAAAAAAGACAAAGGACCCAGCAAGAAAAGACAAGATAAGGGGCTGACCTCAACCCCTGACACATATACACACACACAAACTTTAATAATCCAAATTACTTTGCACTTAAAAAGAAACTGCGAGGAAACGTAGCGTAGGCAGGAAAACACCTGCTTAAAAAAAAAAAACTCTAAGCGTCAGCATAAAGTTTCAAGAAACTGCTCGCAAATACTAAATTTGTAAAACCATTAATGGCCGTAATAGGAAAACTGTTTATCTCTGCTTTTTTTTTAACCCAAGGAAATCTGTATTTGAATGAATGAGTAGGTGTAGTAGGAGAAGTTCTCCAGCTGGGTTCCCCCGCTGACCTCACTTCCTGTCTTTGTAAAAGTCACTCACGGACGTGACAGGAACATGGGCCCAGTGGCCGTGCCCCATCAAGGTGGATGGATGGTCACTGAATCCTCCTCCCTCTTCCTCCTCCCTCCCACACAGACAAAACCACCCACAGTCTTGACCTCTGTGAGTGAACTTGTTTCCAGACACTGCTATAAATGACCTTCCACTTACTGACATGTAATCCATTTAAGTTACCTTGGCAAGCAACATCTGCTGCTGAGTCTCTATCTGTTGTTGTTGCCTCGTGGCCATTTCCTGGAGCTCTGAGAGGGTCAGCTCCACACATGGAACCTACACACACACACACACACACAAGAACAAGAACACACACTTAATGTAATGCAGTATGGCTATAGAAAAGGCCATGTTGACAAATGTGTTGGACTGTTCACATCTGCTGAGCTACAGCCGTGATGTTAGGGAAGAGCTGTGTGGCCTTGGCCAGGTGACAGAATTATAGCTGCGTCTGTGAGACAATGTCCAGGGTTCTACTATCTGTCCTGGACATCAGGGTGGTGAGACACGGAGACTGCACAGGTCTCTCCACCAGGACTGATTATTTTGTACCAAGCTGTATCACCAGAGGACTACGCTGGGACAGAGTGCTGAGATAATGTGATCGTGGGTGTGGAGTACAATCATTTCTATAAATGTGCAGAAATATTTGTCTCTCAGTGTGTGTGTGTGTGTGTGTGTGTTTGTCAAGACAGGGCAGGGTTGCAGTGTCGAGGAATGTCTTTAGCTGACTTCAGTCAGAAGTTTTCAACACAGCCACATCCTGCTATTGTTTATGCTTCTCTGTCAGACACACACACACACACACACACACACACACAGAAGCACACACACATTTCCCGGATACTTCAAGAATGGTCAGGGCATTAGTCTGTCAATGCAGACGTTAAGGGGAAAAATATACCATTTATTTAAACCCTCGATGACATAACAGCAATAACGTCATAGTACCAAGAAAGACTGGATTCATTTGTATAAGTAGGTTTTTTGGTTCTTTTAAGGATTTTTGTTAAAAAACATTTTTAATCCCATCAAAGTACTCTACCAGATCTGAGTCCAAGTCATCTGAATATAAGGACATATTTTTAACAACTGATAAACATCTATAATCTGATTCACCGTTAGATATACTGTACATACGGTGGTGTCAACAAGCAGCGTGGACAAGTGCAGCACCAACAGCAGGCTCAGCAGGGATAGCTACAGCTTATGACCAATATTACCAAAAGATGTTGACGATATTTACCCAAACAGAAATATGCATTTTCTGTTACAAAAATGTTCAATTTTTACTGTTGAAAAACCCCCAACACTTTTCTTCCCGTCTTCCCATCTCATTCTCATCTCTCCATCCTTATACAGGCTGCAACAAAATGATCCAAGCCTGGCATGACTGTCATGGACTTTAGCCCAGAAGAGAGACTTGGACTTTGCTTTCTACCCCTGGCCGGTGTGACTGAAAACCCAGAGCACTGGTTTGATGCCTTCCTTGTTGTGTATCCCAACTTGACACATCCTGCGCTGCTTTTATTCAAAGACCATTAAAGACCCTGAGCTTCTTCTCTCATTTCAGTTTTTTTCCGCCCTAGCTCTGTGACCATATCAGCCAACTTTCAGTTTTGGACAGCCCTAGCTCTGTGACCATATCAGCCAAACAGACTAGCATTGGTCAGAGTGACGACTTGGTGCTGCTGTGACTCCGCCTCCATCCCAAACAACATGCTTGGCCTTCGGTGACCTTTCATAGTTGTCCTTCTGTTGTCTGGACCTTAGGAAAGTCCTAAGAGGACTAGAGCCTGTTGAAGACTGTTGACCTCCTGACTGTGCTTTAGATTAATTTACTCCCCTGTAATTACAACCGTCACATCTCTGTCTGTCTGTGTCGCAATGTTGAGATCATCCAGTAATAGTTCTCCCCTGATGAAGAAGGATTTACATTTTCTTCAACAGAGATAACAGTTGAAAATTGATGATTTTAGCTCATGTAATATTCACACATCCAGTTTACATTCACCATAGCGCCTCCTGCAGGGTAACCCCCATAGTGCTATTAGCATAGTTAGAAGTCCTGCAGGTTGAGTGGCTGATAGTCACATTGTAATGTCAACATAAATCAGTGGTTGGCACAGTTTAGGTGTAAAGTGCTTTATATAAAGTGATTTTTTTAATCATGCGAGCTAACATCAAAAATGAAAAGCTGAATATTATTGAAGTTATTTTAGTATGTGTTTGATAAAAGTACAATGACAGGTCGTGGGTACTTATTTATTTTGTCAGTGTATTAAAGGATTACCACAAACAACAGCAAACAACACGTTTTATCAACTGTTTTATAAAACACTAGAACAATCCCATAGAGTAGGAGGGTCGTCCGACCGTATGCCTGCAATGCAGACAAATACATATCATAAATTAAAACATGATATAATTTCTGATTATATCATGAAAAGATCTGCAGGATCTGGTGGGTTTATTTCTGTTTATTTATTCAGTGATAACTGGGTGAACTAAAATAAATATAGTATGTAATAAAAATAGGAAGAGCCTGGTTTTGACTGTAGCTGTAGAAAAGTTACCAGTTCACCTGACATGTTTTCTGCTGCTCCTGTGTGTGTGTGTGTGTGTGTGTTTGCCTGCTGCTCATGCTGACGTTTACATGCAGTTTCCCACGAAACCTCCCGCTGCGCTGTATTTACCTGCAGGCTGTCCCATGTGATCCTGCAGGAGCGGACTTTAATTTTGCTGCATTGTCCTTCAATAGTGAATTCCTGCACCAAATCCACCTCATTCCACTCCATCCTCACAGCCGCGCAGACACAGCAGACCCACAGCAAACACTTTCTGGATGGAAAATACTCAACGGTGGGAGACGGAGCTCAGGAGAGAGGAGGAAAAGGAGCGATCCTTATCACAACTTTCCCTCTCATCTGCCTGCTGATGTGCTGTGATTTACGACACGCTCTCTCCCCTGCTCTCTCTCTCTCTTGCCTGTCTCAGTTCTCTCTCTCTCCCTCCCTCCCTCCCTGCCTGCTCTCTCTCTCTTACACCTACTCTGTTATTGGTGTGTTTTCATATGACGTGTGAATAAAGTGAAACATGACAGTGCATTCTGTTTCCACATCTTAGTGCATCTATGATCTGGTACAAACTAACAGAGGACCTGCTGTCCACTCTCTCTGTCTCTCTGTCTCTCTCTCCCTCACCATCTTAGTGATTTCTCAGTCTTTCTAATCATTTATCATTTCTTCCTGTCTTTTGAACTGCCCGTCCTCTGGCATGTCACAGAACCAGCTCTGAGTTTCTCGTCTAATATTCCGTGTTCTTGACAAAATCCTCTGCAGTTCTTTGCTGCAGTGACATCCCCCTCTCTTTGTCACTCTCCCCCTCACCTCCTTTCTCTTTCTCTCACTTTTGCTCATTGGGGGAAATCACTGCACCACAGAGTGACGGCCCAGCGGCTGCTCCTAATCATCCTCTCCTAACAGTCTCCAATGACAACTGCCATAACGATGACAGCGAGGGTCACGGTGGGAGACTGACAGCCGCAAGTGACGTTCAAAACAACATTTGTACAGTCGCACCCACGAGGGTGAAGCCAGCTGAGTCCTGCTGCGTCAGATTTTCCCAGACACATACACACACAAACACACACACACACACACTGCTGCTACAGATTGCACAGCTCGGGCCTGTGTTGTGATGCTATGATGACTAACAGAAGTCAACCAATGGGTGTTGATCAATTAACAACAACGGTGCAAAGAAAAGATCAGCGGACAATGATCTGTACGTACAGCTTGGAGAATTCAAAGACACATCTGAACAGTTGATTCTCTCTGTCTCACAGACTATACACACACAGCTTCCCGTTAGTGAAAACCTCACCCCTGAACAACATCATAATCACTCTAATTTAAACAAAAATACATTTTTTTAAATCATTTTTATTATTACTGCACAGCTGTTTTTAATTTGAAGGAAGTTTGAACTCTTTGTACTACCTGAGACAAATAAAACAACGGAAACCTTTAAGATTTTAGGTCTTCATAACCAAAGACATTAAAACATGTAGAAAGTATTTTGTTTATATCATAATTACAGTTTCAACTCCAGCTGGAGGAAAACGTTACTTTTACGTCCTTGATTCTAGCCGCCCCTTCACAGTCGCTCCCACCAAAGTATTAGTTTCACTGCTCATGAAGTGTTCACATCAGCTTTTTTAACCACACACACACACGCACACGTGAATGCAAACACACACATACCTTGTTTGATCTTCAGTCAGTCCTTTAAACCCAGCCCCTTCTGGTCTGCTGTAAAAATATTCCTCCTAATCTACAATAACAGCTCGCGGACATTCCTGCAGTTATGAAAACCACCCCAGTGAATAACAGGCATCAGTGCAGGGTGGTCCGTACTGTAAGTGAGAGGTCACACCTTTCAACCACACGACTCGTCCATTAATATTTCAGAGTGGGACATATGCTGTAACCTAACTGAGGAGTGGGGGGGGGGACCAAAGATCACCAGGCTACACTGAACACTCAACCAGTCCGTCAGTGACGCTGGACTGGTGAAATACCGATGTACATCAACACCGTCCCTGCACTGTGTCCTCTGCACAAACAAACAGGCCAATGACACACTTGGCCTGTCGTCCTGATATATAATCTTCACACACAAGTGTAGAGGGGTAGAGTTACACCCTGGTACATTAACACATTCAAATCAACCAGAGATGGCTCCATACTTTTGTCCGAGACTGATATAGCAACTTCTGCGGATGGCTCCATACTTTTGTCATGTCCGAGACTGATATAGCAACTTCTGCCGATATTAATATCAATCTGATACCTTTCTCCTCCAGCAGCCGCGAGCTGCTGACACTGAGGTGATCGTGTCCCTGTTGACGGCATGTCGTAGTTGATGATTTGGACTTAGGTATCGGATCAAATGTGCCGTAGTTGTTGCAGAAATTCTGACCAATATCGGACCAATACTGAACCTCAGGATTCTGTCACCACATCTGATACACACTCATACATGACACAACTATTGTGGGATCAAGCACAAACATACCAGTCTAATCAATTAATAATAAAAAATGAAAATCCGATAAGAAACTAGCTTATGATAAATAAAGGCTAAAAAAAGGAAAGAGCTTTTGTTTTGTGTAAATGTCATCACAAGGTCAAGGTTCTAAAACCACATGATAACCACCTGTAGTACGGTTCTGTGTTGTTGTTCTCGATTGATCTATCTGAGAAATCATTTTCTACACTGCAGGTGTATGTTTGTGTTAAAGAGTTAATAATCTACACAGCCATGTTGATGACGCCTTACTAACAACACAAAGAAGTGAAAACTCACCCTAATGACTCTCTTTAGATCATGTTGCTGCTGAGTTGAAGGAAATTAAAAAAACAGAGGGAGAGAAAACTAAGGACAACAATGAAGGAATGAAGGAGAAGGAGTACGAGGAGAGGTGAGACTACACCCAGGAGGAGGAGCTGTTTGGCTGGACAACAATCCTCTTAGCCGTGGTTATGTCATGGGACCAAGCTAATCCTAACTTCACTGACTGACCAACACATGCACACACACTTAGACACACACACACATGCGCGGCTGAGTACCCGTCAGACATAACAACACAAACAGAGCAGCCAGCTGGCCGACTGTGGCCTCTCCTGCAGGTACAAACACGACATCTCGTCTGGGTTCAATGTAACGGTCCTTCAAAATAGTGTTTAGGCTCGACAGGTCACTGAGGTGAGGTCACCTGCTCCTCCTAATGACGTGAATGTTAATTGTGTGGGAGATAACGGGATGATCAGAGCGGACAAACAGACAAACAGCAGGTCAATGAGTCACACTACACAGGGCTAACTCCCTGTTTCTAAGTCCGTCCGTTCAGTCATTTATGGATTATGTGCTGTTTGTGTGTTGGTGTGTGTTCATGTAGTCTAGTGGATTAGCCCAAAGATTAGCAACACTGATGATTATAGTACTGCAACAGCAACTACGTCTTTATCTGATACACACTCATACATGTGCACACACACATAAACAGACGTCAAACACTGTTTGTGCAGCTTTAAGCTACAAATATGAAGCTCCCAGTCTGGTTGATGTAGAGGTTCAGATAGAAACAAATATATCAGGTTTTGAGACAAAGTGAAGAAAAACTATGTGAGGTGGAAGCAGCTAATGTTGTAGTATTTACTTTACTGATACTAATGTGTCTGTTCTACAGCTGAATGTTGGTGAACCAAACAAACTGTGGCTCTTGTAGTGGCTGTGTGTAAGGGTGTGGGTTCACTTACTGAGTCATTAGTCCCTTCTGTTGCTGCTGGACTCCAGCTTTGCTCCAAAGGCCACTGACTTCCTGTGTGAGACAGAATAATGAAATGGAAATTTGATTAAAGACACAGACATGACACATTAGTGCAGTTGTCTATGATGGACTAAAATAAAGGACGGCGAGTTTGAAGGTCATTAGTACAGGTAGATGGACAGATAGATAGTTGGATGGATGGATGGATGGATGGTGGATAGATGGATGGATGGATGGATGGATGGTGGATAGATGGATGGATGGATGGATGATGGATAGATGGATGGATAGATGGATGGATGGATAGATGGATGGATGGATAGATGGATGGATGATAGATAGATAGATAGATAGATAGATAGGTAGATAGATAGATAGATAGATAGATGATAGATGGATGGATGGATAGATGGATGGATGATAGATAGATAGATAGATAGATGATAGATGGATGGATGGATAGATGGATGGATGGATGGATGATAGATAGATAGATAGATAGATGAATGATAGATAGATGGATGGATGGATGGATGGATGATGTTCTGTCCCTCTCTCTCTCCGTCCTTGTTAGTACCGTCCCTCTAATCCACTCACTGACATCTCTTCCAACAACAGAGTAGATGGATACGTTGGCAGTTTGCCCTCACACCATAAGAGCAACACAGAGGACGGTCCACTCTCCTGCATATACACCGCCAACATGTTTCTTTGTTGTTGTTGTTTTTTCACCTTCAGATTTAGAGGTCTTCCTGTATGTTCAGGACTTCCGGTCCTGTTCAGTGAAAAGCTGGAACTGCTCTTACTTTTTCAGCCGTGTCTGTTGGTCAATCTATCAATAGCAACACCTGTTGTAATGCTGCCAAGACCAGACAGTTTTAATCTGGGCTAATCCCAGAGAGCTCCAGGCTCTGTCTAGTTACACATATACTACACAACACAACAACAATACTCAGTACACTGCAATACTTCTCTTGGTTGTACTGGGGAGCATGCACAGTAGATCTAACTGTAGTGTTTTAATACTCTAGCTTGAATACAATGTAGTTCAAATGTTGTACTGTTGTATGATATTTCAACATATCACTTCATGTACTTGTACATGTACTTCAGTTGTTAATAATAGAGTATTAGTCTCAGTGGTGTAGGTATCAGCAGACACTCCAGGCTACAGTGTTGGTAACAGTCATGAGAATCAAACCACGTCTCTGTACCTGACGGCCAGGCGGGCCAGTGTCTGAGGTAGAAGCTGACCTCTGGCCTCCTGGTCCCCCACTGCTGGAGGAGCTCCAGCATTGATAACTCCAGAGGAAGAACTCTCTCTGTGCAGGAACAGGGAAAAAAAACATCAGAAATAATGGCAGCAAGAAATGTTAGTATTTTATATTCATGCATATATTTTCACATTTCACCTTATTTTCACTTCAAATGACTACATGGTCATATTGTGCTTAGTTACTGCAATACCCATATGGTACAGTTGAGTCTGTGAAGTCTTTTTTATTTAATCTGTCTTAGATTTTAAATCATTTCATTTCACTGCACAGAATAACTACAGATTAGTTAGTTATGTTAGTTAACAGTTAAAGGGAAAACCAATATAGTCAAGTCTGGTCAATATGAAATAAAATACATTTTACTATATATATATATAATACAATGTGAGAAAAAAACTCTTATGATCAGCCTGATTTATTTATTAAAATATCACTGTAAAATTAAAGTAAAGTTAAAAGTCATGTTAACAAGTCAGTCCTAAAATAAATAGTGAATTCTGCACAGTATGTAGAAATATATTCATGTTCATATAAAGAGGCCCATGGTCGTATTCTTCCATCCCACAATCGTACATAACATTACATAACACATGTAACATGTGTAATGACTGATAAATATGATATGGTAAATGTTCAAATGTTATTTTGGATAACACATTCACACGCCCGACATGGGAGTAATAAAGGTGGTGACATCACATCAAAATTCTCCTTGTCTGACACATCAATCCATCAGTGCTAAAAATACACAGGTGTTGACAATATCTGCGAGGCTTCGTACTCTCGTATCTTCAGGGCTACTGGTGGCCTCTGAACACGGCCTCTCTCAGCCCAGCAGCACTCTGACACAACACACTTTTTTTTCTTTTTTTTTTTTTTAACCACCATTAATGATGTGTTGCTCTGCAGTGTCACCCTGTAAACAACAGCAGCCTGTCATGGCAGAGCCTTTTATAGCCTGGCTCACACCTCACTGCTACACAAACACACTGAGCCATTGTGTGAATCACTGCTACATCAGTAATGAGCCAATCCAAGCAGGCCGTCCTTCAGTGGACACAGCGGCCGTCGGTGTCTGTGTGAGTCCAAGTTAAACAACGGCCTCTGGTACCGACCAGTCTCTCAGCTGTAGCTGCAGTGCTGTAGGTCTGAACACACCGAGACTTAAACGTCAGTCTGTTAACGGCTTTCAGAACAACCTTCTGATCACAACAGACTACATCACTTATATTTTAGGTGGAAAAATAAATATTATACAAATGTTTCTAAGATCTGAAAAATTCTGAAAGCAGTAAACCTTAATATCCCTTCAGTCTGTCGCTCTTTCTCGTACAAATTGTCAATTTATAATATCAAATTTCACATTTGTTGCTGCACATCTAAAAACACAATACAGAGGGTCCTCGACTGACATCGGAGCTCCGTTCCTACCGTGTGACGGAACACGGTGACGGTTTTCACCATAGGTCTAAAACCCGTGGACTGAACATAAGGACCTACAGTCTGTCACTCACTTACGCTAACACAGTGGTGACATCATAAAAAACACAAATGCATTTGTTTGACCTGCTCGTAAAACTAGTTACTGTTGATATTTTAACGCCGGAATTTATGGAACTTGAATTTCTTTATAAATGTATAGATCGAGGACATTTTACCAAGGACAGCTAAATCATCTCTTGGACTTTGGACATGTCACCCGTCCATTACAGAGACATACAGGCCAGCTGACAATCTTGCCTGTCTTGACACACACAAACACTACATATGAAAATATCTATTAAACTAACAAGGACATTTAAAGATTCCACATATCCCTGTATAAATGTTTTTGGATTCAGGAAAAACACACATGGAGAACATACAAAGACCACACTGAATATCAAATTAGTAGAAGTGGGTTTTCTACTGTTGACCTTCATGCTGAAGGTCAACATGAAATAAAATAAATTTTACTATATATATATAATACAATGTGAGAAAAAAACTCTTATGATCAGCCTGATTTATTTATTAAAATATCACTGTATTTTAGTGTTTATTCTGTTTACATTACTTCACTTCACTCACCGTTGCCCTTCCATAACTCAGCTAAGTGGCACTCCCCCTCTCCAGGCTCTTTGCAGTATTCCACCACGTCACTCACCCTGGTTGCCGGCGTCACTGGTACCTCAGTGAGCATCTGCTGGCTGTCATTGAGGTAAACAGTCAGGATCAACTGAAAGAAAAATGAAAACGGTTCTCAGGCTGTCACTGCTGAAACAGGAATTCAAAAGTGATGATAAATGAAAACCAAACGTCTTGAACTCAACGAATGAAACATCAAAAACCAGACTAAGCTTATTCCCTGTTGTTGAGAATTTTAAAAACACAGTTACTTAAACCAAGGCCCTCTGCTTTGATTTGCATTTTACTTCAAAGCTGAGATTTCTAAATAATTCCCTCGACATAAATGTGTTCAAATCATTAAATCATTTCATAAATATTTTCTACGTTAAGATTAAATAATTAAAAGGTTCTTAATTTGAAAAAAACAAAACATAAAGGTTCTTAATTTGAAAAAAACAAAAACGTAAACCTAGAATCGTAGAAAACAAGTGATCTTTAAAGCTGTGTGTTAAGCTGGAGCTCTGCAGTAGAAACTACAGTATATCTACACATTTATGAATGATCATATAAAAACACTGACCGTGTTTGTATGATTCTGGGATGTCACATCTAAACTAGTTCCACCATATGGATTTATGGAGCTCTGTGTACAGGTGTTGCACCTTTACAGCCGGCAGGATGTTGGACTTGGGTTCACACCAAGTTTTATAATGGATTCTACTGAAGATATAAAAAAAAAATGAGGTCTCGGTTTTTATGGTCTCAGCTGTTTTTGCAAATGAACCCAGGCAGGTGCAACATTCAAAAAGAACAGGTTTTTACCCTCAAATCTGTGAGGAAATATATATTAAAATGTAGCTGTTTTTATTGGCATAAAAAACATCTTCTACTTCTTAATCTTCTTCACCTTCTTAACATGATTTCACTGATGGACAGCAGTGATCCTGGACCAGTTTGTACCAGTTTGGAGACCGACTGTTTTGATGCTTCAGAATGTGCTTGTTCACTAGTATTTCCTTTTGTGTACAAATACTGAGTACTGTCACCAATACTAGTTTTAGGCTGAGTTTCATTAACTATAATAAAGTGTCAAACAGTGCCACGGTGGGTTGTAAAGCGCTGACATCATAACAGAACAAGTCGTACAGTGAGTCTCCCTCCTGTATTCATCACTGATGTTAAAATACCTCCAAACTGCTGACATTGTCCATAGACTCAAATAAACCACAGCCATGAGGGTAACGACACACTGGACTGCAGTAGGAAAATACACAGCAGCGGCCGATGGGCGTGAAGCAGCACATTAAGGACGACAGG